TTTAAAGGGCCGGCCCAGGAACGCGGCCGGCCCCCAGGTGCCGACGGCCCACCGGGAAATTTCCCGGTATCCCGGTGGGCCAGTCCGGCCCTGGACCCTAGGGTAGTCTGTGCCTAAATAGGGAAAAGGGGATGGGAGCCCTCCCATGAGGAAGGGTCTAAGGGCCTATATAAGTGGAACGCTATGTCCGTTTGTCCAGTTAAAGGACCACTCCACACCCCAAAAGCAGCTTCCTGAAGTAATTTATGGATGAGGAGTACCCTCATTCAACCCCAGTTTATAAAAGTGCAGATTTCTACGAGAAATCAGCACTTTTATAAATTAATTTGGGAACTCCCCCCTGGCTGTCAATCAAACAAGCCAGGGAGGATTCCTTCCTATTTATGTTAGCTGCCCTGAGCTAATGGAAGTGGCAGGCACGCTCTACTTGAGCGTGCCTGCTTCCCCCTCCCTCCCTCACAGACCTCAGACCAGCTTCAGAAATGAGAAGCCTCTGATCCCTGTGAAGAGACTGAAAGTCTTTACGGAAAAAAGGGGGAGCTGCTTACAAAGGCTGCAGTCATAAGAACTGTACCTTTTGTAATCTATTTTAGGCTATACTCCCAATGAATACATGCATAAAAATATACATGTATGTATTCATTGGGGGGTATATCTACTAAACTGTGAGTTTTTTTTGGCGGGGGGGAGTTGGTTGAAAGAGTGGAGTGGTCCTTTAACTTGCAAACCTCCATGCTGCTTCCATGCTTGCTGAGCTGGATTCCCCAGAGCTTGTCAGCCTAAGGGTATCCCGGAGCAGCATGGGAAACACACAGCACATATCACCCAACGTGCCCAAAGGAGGAGAGGTAGGGGTAAGGGTAAACAGGGTGTGCCTTCCGGAAACCGGATCGGCAGGGCAGAGCAGGCCTCTCTGGAAACCGGACAGGCGGGGCAGAGCAGGGTTCTCTGGAAACCGGACAGGCTGGGCAGAGCAGGGCTCTATGGAAACAGGACAGGCTGGGCAGAGCAGGGCTCTCTGGAAACCGGACAGGCTGGGCAGAGCAGGGCTCTCTGGAAACCGGACAGGCTGGGCAGAGCAGGGCTCTATGGAAACCGGACAGGCTGGGCAGAGCAGGGCTCTCTGGAAACCGGACAGGCTGGGCAGAGCAGGGCTCTCTGGAAACCGGACAGGCTGGGCAGAGCAGGGCTCTCTGGAAACCGGACAGGCTGGGCAGAGCAGGGCTCTCTGGAAACCGGACAGGCTGGGCAGAGCAGGGCTCTCTGGAAACCGGACAGGCAGGGCAGAGCAGGGCTCTCTGGAAACCGGACAGGCAGGGCAGAGCAGGGCTCTCTGGAAACCGGACAGGCAGGGCAGAGCAGGGTTCTCTGGTAACAGGAAAGGCAGGGCAGAGCAGGGTTCTCTGGTAACAGGACAGGCAGGGCAGAGCAGGCCTCTCTGGTAACAGGACAGGCAGGGCAGAGCAGGGCTCTCTGGAAACAGGACAGGCAGGGCAGAGCAGGGCTCTCTGGAAACAGGACAGGCAGGGCAGAGCAGGGCTCTCTGGAAACAGTACAGGCAGGACAGAGCAGGGCTCTCTGGAAACAGGACAGGCAGGTCAGAGCAGGGCTCTCTGGAAACAGGACAGGCAGGGCAGAGCAGGGCTCTCTGGAAACAGGACAGGCAGGGCAGAGCACAGGCAGGGCAGAGCAGGGTTCTCTGGAAACCGGATAGGCAGGGTAGAGCAGGCCTCTCTGGAAACAAGACAGGCAGGGCTCTCGGAAACGAAACAGGCAGGACAGAGCAGGGCTCTCTGGAAACAGGACAGGACAGGCAAGGCAGAGCAGGCCTCTCTGGATACAGGACAGGCAGGACAGAGCAGGGTTCTCTGGTAACAGGACAGGCAGGGCAGAGCAGGGTTCTCTAGTAACAGGACAGGCAGGGCCGAGCAGGCCTCTCTGGTAACAGGACAGGCAGGGCAGAACAGGCCTCTCTGGAAACAGGACAGGCAGGGCAGAGCAGGGCTCTCGGAAACGAAACAGGCAGGACAGAGCAGGGCTCTCTGGAAACAGGACAGGACAGGCAAGGCAGAGCAGGCAGGACAGAGCAGGGCTCTATGGAAACAGGACAGGCAGGGCAGAGCAGGCCTCTCTGGAAACAGGACAGGCAGTGCTGTGAGAAAACCTGTGTTTGCAATTGTTTGATATCCATGAGAGCAGAATAATTGTGTGTATTTTTTAAAACAAAAGGTTAAACAATAAAGACACTTTTTCATAGCCTTCTTTGCTCATGTTTATCACATGTGCTAATGTTAGTGGTGGGCACTGGATCTCTGCAACCTACTTTTTTTCATTTTTTGCTCAGAAGCTATACTTTATGTCTTAACTCACTGGTTGTAGGTCAACTGACAAGTTAACTAAACTCAAAAAACCCTTGCCTTGCTTACAGTGTGTTGCTTTTGTTATAAGGTCAGCAGTGCTATAGAAAGTCCAAGTGTACATCTTAATTGACAAAATAATTTTCTGGTTTTGTCATAGCTTACTGCAGATACTGCACAGCCTGAGTATTTACAGCAAATGCAGTAATTTCAAATGTGATTTTATATTTATTTTTTATATTGTCCCTGCATATATTTTTAAAGTGGCTCTGTCGCAAAAAACATAGTTTGTGGGCCCAGGACATACTTGACGACAAGGGAAATCTCAATGTATCCTTCCTGGTAAAATATTTTAATAAATAAATACATAGTAAATATTTTATCTTTATGTAATACTCCCATTTATGTTGAGGGAATTTCACTGAAATTTCTCCTGCTCTTACCAAAACTTAACAAATACTGGTGCTACTGCCGTCAAGTTTGTCAATTCTGCCAGCCATCACTAATAAAGGCTGTAAAGAAAAATACATTGTCTATGGAGGCCTCTGTGATCTCGCAGGATCGTCTATAGACATCAGTGTTGATACAGCATTTAGGCTCCTGGCAAATGACGCGACAGGAGCTGAAGAGGATTTGCCAACTTGACATAGCTGTGGATGGAGGGATAGCTTTAGGTAAGTAAAAGGTACTTTCCCCTGCACCCCTGGGCAACCACACACCAAGTGGCACTGTCATCATCGGGGGTCTTCTAAAAAAATTGCAGAGATTCCAGAAGGTGACAGATTTGCGTTTATAAAACATATTTAAAGGAATACATCATCTCTGAATAAGTGTGACCCTTTAAATGTTTTGTTTTATATTATTCCCTCTACAAACTTGTGATTGAGTTAATCTTGCTCTTTTACCTTGCTTACAAACTGATCTGTATTTATTGGGGTTTATGTGATCCTACACAAGAGTACGTAGGAATTTAGATATGTTTCTGAAATACGTTTCACGTTTCATGGGGTTTTACTTTCAGAATTCGTATTGTCAACACATTGGACTGGAGTTCATGTTTATCAATGATGTTGAACAGTGTCAGTGGATCAGGCAAAAATTCGAGACTCCAGGTATCATGAAGATCACAAATGAAGAGAAACGAAATCTACTAGCAAGATTAGTACGTTCTACCAGGTATCCAATGATCTCGTAAAAAAAACATTTTTCTTAATTAGCTATTACATTTTTTTTGTTGCCATTGAATACAAATGTAATCTTTTTATGACTTAGATAAAAAAACAAGCTAAATTCTTCCTAAGGTTCGAGGACTTCCTAGCACGCAAATGGTCTTCAGAAAAGAGGTTTGGTTTGGAAGGGTGTGAAGTGATGATCCCGGCTTTAAAGGCAATAATCGATAAATCCAGTGACATGGGGTTGGAGTATGTGATATTGGGCATGCCCCACAGGTAAGAAGACAAAATATTCTATTTATTAGATGCCATACTAGAAACTGATAATTTTCTGAAGTTTTATTACTCTCTCACCACTTGTAGCATTTACTTAGATATTTCTTCTGGTCTTCTTGTGGTCATGGTGCATTCAATCCAATTTTTTATTGTTGTCTCCTGTCCAAATTGTGACTACCTCCTGTCTCTTTTCTGGTTCCTTGCACATAATCATTTGTCTCTCCTGTTTGTTAACATATAAACATATTTTATCTTTTCCTGGTGGTTCCTGGATTACTTTTATGACACCACCCCTTCTGCCCCTTGTGGTGTTTCCTGTTCCATATATGACCTGCTCCAGTGCATATATCTTTTGCAAACATTTAGTGTATGTGATTGGATGGGCGAATTTTACTAGTTTGGCGCATTATTCATTTTTCTCTCAACTTTATTGCTTAGACATGTTTTGACCTCTTAATTATTCTTAGATTTTCACAAAATTGTGCTGATTGTAGAATGCCATACCTCTGTTTTACCATGTCTGGCATGTGTCTGCTTCTGCTGTTGTGGCATTGCAGGTGTATTTTGTATTGGTTTTTGGCACAGAAAAAATAAAGAATGGCAAATCTCTAACTAGCTTTTCTCTTACTGACTGTTGATCCATATTCCACAACAGTGATTCTGCCTGTATTCTTAAAGGACCACTATAGTGCCAGGAAAACATACTTGCCTGGCTTTTCCTGGCACTATAGTGCCCTGAGGGTGCCCCCACCCTCAGGGTCCCCCTCCCGCCCGGCTCTGGAAAGGGGAAAGGGGTAAAAACTTACCTTTTTCCAGCACTGGGCGGGGAGCTCTCCTCTTCCGATCCTCCTCTTCTCCTCCCCGTCGGCTGAATGCGCACGCGCGGCAAGAGCTGCGCGCGCATTCAGCCGGTCACATAGGAAAGCATTCATAATGCTTTCCTAGGGACGCTGGCGTGCTCTCACTGTGAAAATCACAGTGAGAAGCACGCAAGCGCCTCTAGTGGCTGTCAATGAGACAGCCGCTAGAGGAAATAGGGGAAGGCTTAACCCATTCATAAACATAGCAGTTTCTGTGAAACTGCTATGTTTATGAAAAAATGGGTTAACCCTGGCTGGACCTGGCACCCAGACCACTTCATTAAGCTGAAGTGGTCTGGGTGCCTAGAGTGGTCCTTTAATCTGAGCATCAAGGCTGCATACTGAGTGATGAATGGAGTATAGTGGGAGAGGTGCAACCATTTCCCCCAGTGAAACTTTACACTTATTGCTGATAAACAAACACGTCTCCGAACTAGACAAAATCACTAGCATGTACTTTTATTGAAAGAGTTAATTTTCAAATTAATTGATGGACAGCTTCCATGGTTCTAGGTTAAAGACCAACTCACCCGTCAAGGCAGCAAAAAAGATTCCCAGGCACTCAAAATGTGAAAGCCGCAGGCAGATTTATTGCAACAAAATAGACAGCAACGTTTCTACCTAACAAGAGGTCTTTTTCAACTCGCCCATCAAACACATTCAGGCCATATAAACTAAGAAATTCGGTTGCCTCTTGAATGTCATGGAAAAACAGCAGCACATTATGTTCCCCACAGGGAAAGAAGTCGATCTCTGGATTCTGTCAATGTAAATTAACATCTTTCCACTTTCCTCACTGTTATTGCTGAGAGACATGGTCTGGCACATTAAAGTATGTGTGCACCACCTTTATAAAGCTCATATTGAGTTCCTACCTATCAGCACCCATCACATTTTCCCTGCCCCTTTTTTCCTTTTCCTTTCTTGGTTATGAAAAGACTTGCGGTGTGCACCTCCACGGGTGCAGATCTTTGGTCTCGCTGCTTGCCACGCTGCCTCTCTCCCGCCTGCCGCCCCGAGCCTGTGCCTTCATAGCTTTATGGGAAATTTGACTCCAGTTGCTGGAAACAGCAAGGCTTAAATTTTAGATTTTTGCATAAGGTTTTTAAATTATTTATTAATTTTGGATAAACTTTTCAAATCATTTAATAGTTTTAATTTTTTTTAAAATATATTTTTATATTTTATGTTGATATATTTTGCCATATGTGATTTTTAAAAAAAAAAAAAATATTTTAATATTTAGAAAAAAATATGTTTAAAGTTTATCCAAAAATAGTATTTGAAAAGTTTATGCAAAATATTAAATTGAGGTCTAAGCTCGATGTGTTTCTTCATTATTTATTTGTGCTTGTTTTCATGCTGTGCTTCAATGGTCCGCCACTGATATCGACACTCATGAACAGGACAGGGGCTCCTGATATTATTGGCCATGATCAGTACACTAGAATAGAAAAGGATTGAGTCTTTTGGTATCCTTGAATGAGGTCACAGAGCCTCATTACACCCAAATAAATATCAGTTTGGAAATGCCTTATAATAAATAAGTTACCTTAACTTTAAACCAAAAAGCATTGACACTGAAAAATGGTTAAAATGTATGCAGGACCTCCATTTTTATGCTATGGATTAAGGAAATATAGAGGATGTCTGAAAGTGTTCTTTTTTTTCCCCGCCACTCATCTCAACTCCACACATAAAGATTTAAATACATATCGTTATCCCTCAGAAAATGTTTTTGTATGTCTATATACTCTTGTGTTTGTCTTGTTATTGCGTTTGTTCCTTTCTGTATAAAGAAAAAAACCCAATAAAGAGAATCTAAAAAAAGAAAAAAACGAAAAAAAAGTTAAACCATCTTCACCTGTATTTGAAGGCTTTTAAAGACGAGTTGCCATTTTATGTATAAAATGTTGTTTTTCAAAAAGATATTTAAGTATTCAAAAATATTTTTAATGTTCAATAATCTTCTCACTGTGCTTGTTTTATAGAGGCAGGCTGAATGTGCTGGCCAATGTTATACGTAAAGATTTAGAACAGATATTTTGTCAATTTGACCCCAAGCTGGAAGCCTCGGATGAGGTAATATATTCTGAATTATTTGCTGATGGGACATTCCAATTATGTATTAGATTAATTACTGCACTTTAACTGTTCCAGGCTAGAGATGGCCCATTTTAATGCATTTTAAAGATGATGTGTTGCAAAACTGTATGCAAAAACAATAAATTGAGAATAAAAAAAATCTGAATTTAAAGTTCAAGAATTTCATCTAAATCTCGAGGCTTTGCAACTTTGCAATGACTGTATTGAGTTCTATACACACCAAGAATTGATTCAGACGATCATGTTCCCATTTTTCTCCTACTTATTTATTGACAAGTGGAGTTTTTCTCTTGCTAAGAGCTGGGCTACACCTCCCATATCCTCATATGGTCTGTTATCTAGAATAACATTTTATTTATTGCATACAAATTTCAATTATATTGGAGCATAACCCTTTAAACATTGTGTGATGTTGAGTATATTCCGTATTTCACATGGTGTGAATAAAAAAAGTGTCTAGCACACACACAAAGCAATAACAACTCATAACAAGGTGAATGAACCTCCCAATAAGCAGACTGCGGACCATATTAATGGTTAGAGTGTATGGCTTTTCACACATGATGTTCTTTGGACCTGGAACATTATTGTAGTCTTCCTTGCTACCTAAACACAAATAGCATGGCTGTAAGATAGAGGACACCTTTGTACATTTTGAGCCTCCTTACAATATTTTTACATTTTACAGATTTCGATAAAACATTTAGATAACTACTGGAAATCCCATTTTATTTACTGGCGTCTGCCGGTTAATATATTTAAAAGTTTTGGGTTTAAACATTATTTATGATGATTGTCTAGCATCGCAATATAGAAGCTTTCTTTTCTCTTGGAAAACAAAATGGAGTAATTTTAGCAAATAATTTACGGAGAGAAGTATATGCATATGATGCAGCACACATTTTTAAGGCAAACCTTTGTAAAGGTTACCCTATTTCATTCCAGGGATCTGGAGACGTTAAATACCACTTGGGAATGTACCACGAACGCATTAATCGTACCACTAATAAGAAAATCACATTGTCGCTGGTTGCCAATCCTTCACACCTTGAGGCTGTTGATCCTGTGGTTCAGGGGAAAACCAAAGCTGAACAGTTCTATCGAGGGGATAATGAAGGGAAAAAAGTGAGTCATTTGCTCAGTGATTTCATAGTGGTTAAATATTCGGCTATTTAATTTTGTTTTTAATTAAAGCTATCATTTTATCCACTAGGTTATGTCCATATTGGTTCATGGGGATGCTGCATTTGCTGGGCAAGGTGTTGTGTATGAGACTTTCCACCTCAGTGACCTTCCCTCCTACACCACCAATGGTACCATCCATGTTGTTGTGAATAATCAGGTAAATAACAAAAAAAACAAAAACCAACAAGTAAAAAATTGTTGTTCACTTTAAATAGTGCAATAAATATTTAAATATAGTAATATTTTACAATAATCAGTTAAAGCAAACAAATATTCACATGTGCTCCAGTCTTATAAAAACCAAAGTGGCACGAAGGAAAAACTACTTCTGATTTAATAATTTCTTTAAAAAGATGCCACCCCTCCCCCCCCAAAAAAAACAAGGTCTCCACATAATGTTATTATTGGAACTGCAATACGCATGTGTGTTCAGTCATAGATCTTTTTTCAGTGTACTATTCGTTTTCTACAATAGCAGAAATAGTTAGATTGTCCTCGATCAAAGGACAATAGCGGCGTCATGGCAAGCTATTAGGGTTCAGAGAATAACACTAGGGCAAAAGTCGGGACACAACACATGGACAGATATTCTCAGAGGAAAGTAGAATATATACACAAAAGGCAAAGGAGCGCGTAGCCCTATACAAAAAAGGTAGGAGAATGTTTAAAATTGACAACGATGAACTAGAAAGGGATAAGGGAATACTGTTGGAGTCACAAATGCTACTGTCAGGGGATTATTAGGTGGTACCTAGGAATGACACAAATCTCCTGGGTCAAAGCTGACCTCTAGAAACAAACTCTTTGGGTACATTATTAGAAGGAAACTCTTACTGGTACAACAGCCACTAGTTTCATGGTCCAAAGAAGGCCCAAAGGCGCCAAGTTAAATACTGAAAAGTATCCACGGCTGATACTAGCTGGTGACTGGTACTGTGACATGAACAGCACAGGTCCAAGGGACATTTGCATGGAGCCGAAACATTTAAGTCAATAAACAAAGACAGGGACACAAATAGGGGAAAGGGAATAGTAATAGAAATGCATAATAATAAAATGCATGAGGAGATATCTACAGACGAGAAGAGATATAGCCCTGGTAGTGGAGAATAGAGTGCAACTGTCTTTGTCTGTGTTGACAAAGACAGGAATAGGTACTAAAAATTAGAAGGAACAAACAAAATCAGAGTGAGAGGTAGAACAGAAAATCAGAAACAAAAAAAGAGTACAATGAATAAAAAAGAAAAACTTGCAACTCTATCTCACATTACGGAATGGTACTGTCTTCCAATTTGCTTTTTTAAAGGAATCTCTTGGAAGCCCTTTGTACAAATATGTGATTACATGTACCATTTAGAAATTTTCATTCTTTGCTGATTGCAATGGTTGCATGCAATATGCCCTGATTAATTTAATATTTTGGGTAAATTCAAATACTGCCATAGTCTTCTTTGCAAATCGTTTGCCTTGTGTAACTTTGAATACAATTCTAATATTGGAGTGTTTGCCTCCAGATTGGTTTCACTACAGATCCGCGGATGGCTCGGTCTTCCCCATACCCTACCGATGTTGCTCGTGTTGTCAATGCTCCTATATTCCATGTGAACGCAGATGATCCTGAAGCTGTTATGTATGTTTGCAGTGTGGCATCAGAGTGGAGGAACACCTTTAACAAGGATGTAGTAGTGGATTTGGTAAGTGTCTTGTAATAGAACACTTGGCCTTGGAATGACACTTATGAAAAAGAGTAACTGTGATACTATACATGCATAAGGAAATTTAGAATTCTCCTAAAATCATAGAATATTCTACTAGCAACAAAAAAATGCTCAAACTATTGGGAAATCAAATGCGCTTTTTAGATTGTTAGTTTTCTGCATCTACAGTCAGTCTGTATTAATGTATTGTAAGTGTGAAAAGTACTAAACTCAGTCCTTCCTCATTCTATTATCCTGTACCCTTAAATAACTTCTTTTTTTTTTTTAAATTGGTATGGTGGCCATGTAACTTTTTTTTTCTTTCTCTCCATAAAATGTATTAGTTGACTGTAAAAAACAAAAACAAAAAAACTTTAATTAACCACAACTCACCTCATACACATTAACAGGCTTATTTACTAACAGTAAAGTGAATTTCAAATCTATGGCCAAAATAGCCAATTTGAAAACGTTATGCAAGTCAGCTTTTCTTCGAATTTGGCTACTTGAAGTGAAACTTTTTTATTTTTATTTTATGTGGAATTCTCACTTTAGTAAATAGCAGAAAGTACAAAAGTAAGAACTCAAAGTCAACGTTAAATATCAGGCCAGGGTAGCCAAAGTGAAAGCACAGCTGGTTTGGAGATTTTTCCAGATCGGCTATTTTGACCTTAAAGGTAAAATTCACTTTGAATTACCAGCCTTTGTATGTAACCCTGCCTGCCTGTCTGTCTATCGGTGTGTTGATCTCGCCCCGTGTCAAAAATTGTTGTTATTGTGCAGACATGATGCCTAATCCAATCCAGGCCTTTGACTTGATGATATATTTCAGGTCTGTTACCGTCGCAGTGGACACAATGAAATGGACGAGCCAATGTTCACACAGCCACTCATGTACAAACAGATACACAAGCAGGTTCCTGTTTTGAAGAAGTACGCCGACAAGCTGATTGCCGAGGGAATTGTTTCCCTTCAGGAGTTTGAGGTACTATTCAGTTGTTTAGAGCTCCTCTACCAAAGATGACTTACTGTAATGAATATTCCTTGTCACTCTTACAACTCATTATTTTGTAGAATTTGTTTATTTTGCTATTTTTCAGACACATTTCAGTTCAAAGGATAGGAACAGAAAGACAATGCAAAAACACAATGCATTTGTTTATACTGGCATAATTGTGATTTACTTTAGTAGAAAATGATGAGGTGAATGTGCTCCACACAAAACTCTCAATATATAAATTGACTTCTTATTATTTATGTATCTTTCTATTAATAATACTGATTCCCACCCTAGATATATGCAGGGGTGTCTGGAGGGTACCACCCAAACCACCAGGTCTAAACGTTGCATACCATACCTCTCTATTTAGGACAGACACACCATATTTTGTTCCCAAATCCTTCTGTCCCTCTTTCCTCTCCTAATGTCCCTCTTTTCTAGGAGCTCCATATGGTTGGTGTGTCTGAGTGTATAACAGAGCTCCACAGCAATAATACTCCCAGTAATGTGTCTGAGTGTATAACAGAGCTCCACAGCAATAATACTCCCAGTATTGTGTCTTTGAATTCAGGGGTCAAGTCCTGGGGAAAAAGTGTGGGAACTCACCCAAGATTCCCGCCTCCCCCTCTCTCTCCCCTCCCCCCTTAAAAAAAAAAAAATTACACTCCTATGCATATAGTGCAGTGCAGGGTGTGTATAATGAATGTAGTGTGTTTGTAGTGAATGCAGAGTATGAATAATAAATGTAGTGTGTTTGTAGTGAGTGCAGTGTGAATAATAATTGTAGTGTATGTGTAGTGAGTGTGAATAATAATTGTAGTGTATTTGTAGTGAGTGCAGAGTGTGTATAATGAATGTAGTGTATTTGTAGTGAGTGCAGTGTGTATAATGAATGTAGTGTATTTGTAGTGAGTGCAGTGTGTATAATAAATGTAGTGTATTTGTAGTGAGTGCAGTGTGTGTAGTGAATGTAGTGTTTTTGTAGTGAGTGCAGAGTGTGTATAATGAATGCAGAGTGTGTATAATGAATTTAGTGTGTTTGTAGTGAGTGCAGAGTGTGTACAATGAATGCAGTGTATGTAGTGTGTTTGTAGTGAATGTAGAGTGTGTATAGTGAATGTAGTGTGTATTTAGTGCAGAATGTGCATAATGAATGCAGAGTGTGTATAGTGAATGCAAAGGGTGTATAGTGAATGCAGAGGGTGTATAGTGAATGTAGTGTGTTTGTAGTGAGTGAAGAGTGTGTATAATGAATGCAGTGTGTGTGTGTGCTGGATTGTGTGTGTGTGTGTGTGCTGGATGGTGTGCGCGTGCTGGATGATGTGGGTGTGTGTGTGCTGGATGATGGGTGTGTGTGTGCTGGATGATGGGTGTGTGTGTGCTGGATGGTTTGTGTGTGAGTGCTGGATGATGTGTGTGAGTGTGCTGGATGATGGGTGTGTGTGTGCTGGATGATGGGTGTGTGTGTGTGCTGGATGCTGGGTGTGTGAGTGCTGGATGATGGGTGTGTGAGTGCTGCATGATGGGTGTGTGTGTGCTGGATGATGTGTGTGTGTGTGTGGAGTGCTGGATGAGTGTGTGTGTGTGATGGCGTGCTGGATGATGTGTGTGTGTGCAGTGCTGGATGATGTGTGTGTGTGTGTGTGTGCTGGATGATGTGTGTGTGTGTGGCTGGATGTGTGTGTGTGTGTGCTGGATGAGTGTGTGTGTGTGTGTGCTGGATGGTGGGTGTGTGTGAGGTGCTGGATGATGGGTGTGTGTGTGGCAGGTGCTGGACAGTGGGTGTGTGTGTGAGTGCTGGATGATGGGTGTTTGAGTGCTGGATGATGGGTGTGTGAGTGCTGGATTGTGTGTGTGTGAGTGCTGGATGATGGGTGTGTTAGTGCTGGATGATGGGTGTGTGAGTGCTGGATGATGGGTGTGTGAGTGCTGGATAATGGGTGTGTGTGTGTGCTGGATGATGGGTGTGTGTGTGAGTGCTGGATGATGGGTGTGTGTGTGTGCTGGATGATGGGTGTGTGTGTGTGCTGGATGATGGGTGTGTGTGTGTGTGCTGGATGATGGGTGTGTGTGTGTGTGCTGGATGATGTGTGGGGGGGGGAAAGCATTTTTTTACTTTATGTATATTTTTTATTTTATCCTCCCCTCCCTGCTTCTTACCTTGTCAGGGAGGGGGGAGATCGCCTGGTGGTCCGGTGGTATGCTGGAGGGAGCCAGCCGCTGCACACAGGAGCCATCACACGCTGTGTTCCCTCTCCAGCTCTAACTCTCGCGAGACTCGCCTGTGCGGAGCGTTTCCATGGTAACAGCCGCGGGTCTCGCGAGAGTTATAGCTGGAGAAGGAACACAGCGTGTGCTGGCCCCTCAGTGCAGGGAGCAGGGCCGGTCCTGCAGGACAGGTAACGGGAACGGCGTTCCTGCTTTGGAAAAAGTGCAGGAACGCCGTTCCCATGCGTTCCTGCAGGACTCGAGCCCTGTTTGAATTACAATAAATGTGTTTAGAAATCAGTGTGTAAATAAGATACGTTGTTCTTGTTCTAAATTACATTATATGTAATTAATAGGTCTCGTAAAATCCTTTGCCCCCGGCCACAACCCAAATCATACCCCTAAAATTAAAGTGTCCCTCTTTGTCCATTTAGTTGTGAGGCACTGTTACTATTAGCCCTGGGTACCCAAGTATTCCTGTCACATTGTAAATGGCAAGTGTCCCCTGCATATATAAAATACATTGATCTGCTATAAGCAATTCAGTACTTTTTACCTTTACACAGGTTTGCACACGTGTGTTTGTCTGTATCTTTGTTACATAGTTACATAGTTACATAGCTGAAAAGAGACTTGCGTCCATCAAGTTCAGCCTTCCTCACAAATGTTGTTGCTGTTGATCCAAAAGAAGGCAAAAAACCTGGTCTGAAGCGCTTCCAATTTTGCCACAAACCAGGAAAAAATTCCTTCTTGACCCCAAAATAGCAGTCAGATGTCTCCTTGGATCAAGCAGCTATTACCCCACTAATTAGAAATATCTCTGTATGTTATGTTTTTGTAAGTATTTATCCAATTTCAGTTTAAACATCTGTATGGACTCTGACAAAACCACCTCTTCAGGCAGAGAATTCCATATCCTTATTGTTCTTACTGTAAAAAAACCTTTTCTTTGCCTTAGATGAAATCTCCTTTCTTCCAGCCTAAATGTGTGACCTCGTGTCCTATGTATATAGCCCTGTTTATGAATAGATTTCCAGATAAAGGTTTGTACTGGCCCCGAATATATTTGTATAAAGTTATCATATCCCTCTCAGGCGCCGTTTTTCCAAACTAAACAGATTTAATTTTTTTTAACCTTTCTTCATAACTAAAATGCTCCATTCCTTTTATCAATTTTGTAGCTCGTCTCTGGACCCTCTCCAGTGCCATGATATCCTTCTTTAGAACAGGCGCCCAAAATTGCACAGCATATTCAAGGTGTGGTCTTACCAGCGATTTATAAAGAGGCAGAATTATATTTTCATCCCGAGAATTTATGCCCCTATTTATACATGACAAAATCTTACTGGCCTTAGCAACTGCAGATTGACATTGCATATTGCTGCCTAATTTGTTGTCTATAACAATTCCCAAATCCTTCTCGTGTGTGGTTATCCCTAATTCACTACCATTTAGTGTGTAAGTTGCTTGTGCATTCTTAACCCCGAAGTGCATAACTTTGCATTTCTCTATGTTAAATTTCATCTGCCATTTTAGTGCCCAGTCCCCCAATCTATCCAAATCTCTCTGCAGCAAAGCAATATCCTGCTCACATTTTATTACTTTACAAAGTTTTGTGTCATCTGCAAACACTGATAAATGGCTTTCAATGCCTATTTCAAGATCATTTATAAATATGTTAAATAGAAGTGGTCCCAAAACAGAACCCTGAGGGACACCACTTACCACTTTTGTCCAGCCTGAAAATTTACCATTAATTACAACTCGTTGTACTCTATCCTTAAGCCAATGTTCTACCCAAGAACAAGAATATTAATCTAGACCAATTTCTTTTAGTTTGAAGACTAACCTATTGTGAGGAACCGTATAAAATGCCTTGGCAAAATCCAAGTAGATCACATCCACTGCAACACCCTGATCTATACTTCTACTTACTTCTTTGTAGAATGCAATTAGGTTAGTTTGACATGACCGATGTTTCATAAAACCATGCCTATTATTGCTAATAACAAAGTTCTTCCCAATGAATTCCTGAATATTATCCCTTAATAGCCCTTCAAATATTTTCCCAGTTACAGAAGTTAAGCTCACAGGTCTATAATTTCCAGGCAAGGATTTTGAACCTTTTTTAAATATAGGAACAACATCTGCCTTCCTCCAATCCTCTGGTACAACACCTGAAACAAAAGAAACTTGAAAAATTAAATACAGAGGTTCACTTATTTCCCCACTTAGCTCCTTAAGTACTCGTGGGTAAATACCGTCAGGCCCCGGAGCTTTATTTACATTCATTTTCTTTAATAGCTGTAGAACCTTGTCTCGAGTTATCCAATCACAAGTTATTTGCAAGTTTTTTGCAGCAATCATTTGCATATCTCTTGCCATAGGATCCTCATTAATATATACTGAAGAAAAATAGTTATTTAAAATTTCTGCTTTTTCCAGGTCTTCATTAGCTAATAAACCCAACTCTGTTTCAAGTGTACCTACACTTTCATTTTTTGTTTTTTTAGAATTGATGTACTTGAAAAAAAATTTGGGGTTGGTTTTGCATTCTTTAGCTATCAATTTCTCATTTTCTAGTTTAGCCACTTTAATTGCCTTTTTGCAAGCGTTATTGGCTTCCTTATATCTTAAATAGAATGCCTTTGATTTGTCTGATTTAAATGCTTTAAATGCCCTTTTCTTATTTTTAATCTCTTGTTTTACTTCTCTACTAAGCCACATTGGTTTTAATTTGTTTCTTTTATATGTATTACCCAACGGTACATACTGAGAAATGTACCTTTCTAATATTTGTTTGAATAGTTTCCATTTATTCTCAGTGTTTTTATCACTAAGGAGTTTATGCCAGTCAATATGTTGTAGAGCTGCCCTAACCTTATTGAAATTGGCTTTTTTTAAATTATATGTTTTAGTATACCCCACTTGCTTTTGCTTTTTTGAGTTTATTTCAAAAATTACCATATTGTGATCACTATTTCCCAAATGCTCCCCTACTTGAATGTTGGTTAAAAGATCAACATTGTTTGTTATAACGAGATCCAGACAAGCATCCTTTCTAGTTGTGCTTGTACCAGTTGTGACAAAGGTGTCATTTAACACATTCAAAAACCTGATTCCCCTTGCTGAAGTACTAGTCCCTCTTTCCCAATTTATGTCTGGATAATTAAAATCTCCAATAGTTAACGTGTTACCCCGATTTGCAGCTTTCTCAATTTGCTCTAACAGCTGTTCTTCCTCATTAATATTTACATTAGGTGGTTTATGACATATTCCAACCAATAATTGATTTCCCTTTGTTTACCCCAAGCAGATATCTACCCATAAAGCCTCCACCTTTTCCTGGTCACATTCCACATGCCTAAGATTTGACTTTAACTCATGGTTGACATATAAACATACCCCACCACCCCTTTGTGTGTCTATAAGTAACTGTGCGTGTGCAAAGAGGTGTGCAAGGGCTGTAGATATAAGGAGTGCTCATTATTTTTGGATCCCTGGTGTTTTTTTTACCTAAGCCATACCCCTGGATATGAGTTTCTAGAATTTTTTTATTTTTTTTTAGATGGATAGACATATTGATTATAAAATAAGAGTGATAGGGAGAAGTAAAAGGAAGAGAGAGATTTCTGGATTTTTGTAGGACTACACTCTGACGTCACATTTTGCTGACGTCACATTTTGCTACACACACAAATAACTTGATTAACAACTTTCCATCATGTGCTGACAATAAGTGAGATTATTTCAGTGAAAGTGTGTCAGTCATTTTTGGTTTTATGAATCACAATAGCCATAATTGTTTATTGCATGTATTATGGTTGCTATTATTTTTATATATACATATATATATATATATGTGCATGATCTGCCGACCTGATGTAATGATTTCTGAGGTTTCCGAGAATAGTACTTAAGCTGTTCTATTTATACAGCTGATCGCTAAATTACAACTCCCAGAAACCCTTGCTGCATTCATATGAGCATCATAACTGGACGAGTCGCTTTCTGGTATGTGCAACACTCGCTGCAAAAGATGTAGATTTGCTGCAGATGCAGGATCTTCAGATGTGAATATTTTTTTTACAAATATATAAGTTGCTGTTTTTCATATATTTAATGCATTACAAGACATGAAAAACACTGTGCCAGCTACAACCCTGTGTGTCCCTTTAATTATGTCTATCGCATCCCTATTGTTAAAAGTATTTCTGTTTATTTAATGTAGCTCACCTCCATCTCTCTGCTTCAAGGTCTGCTTATCACATCTACATGTACGTATCCAGTTCAGTTCCCTCTCTCTGCCTGAAGGGTATCTCACAGCTAGGTTTTTTTTAGATCAGCTTGTCAAAGTTTCTGTGACAAGGCACTTTGTGATTTGGTCACAACCTCATTTAAAAAAAACAAAAAACCTGATTGCTTATATCTTTATTTTTTTTAATTTTTTTAAGATATTCTGCACCATAGCCTTCTTCTTGCCTTTTTACTGCTGTTGATATTAAATATATATCCCAAAAAATCTGGGGAACCAATTAAACCTATATCAGAATGAAATACAAAATTGTATTGTGAAAACTCAGAAGATGGAAATTGTAGACCCTCTCTCCACTTCCCAGGAAAAGCAGTGGAACACAACAAGGTTCAAAGGAACTTCAGCAGGGTGGATAGTAGAAGATCTTCTTTATTATAAAATAAATATGGAAGGAGCTTAACCACAGAGCTGAATGGTCACCATTCACCACTGCTCTTTAAAAACTTGACGGCCTATCCGTGGAAAATCGGAGGTGCAGGGGGCCTGTGAAATTGAGAGTCATGGCAACCGGACACAGAGGGCTACCCACCAATGCCATTCCTGTACTTACAAACTGGCAAAAAAAAACACTGCAAATCCGGGGGCTACCTCGCATTCCCTCCCCTTCCGCACTTACAAGCGGCGTTTTCTCCGGGTCTTAAAGACTGAGCTCGACAGCCGGTGGACCCACAGCGGCCCCCTGACACCAACATGGGGAGATGCACACAGAAGCCACAGGCTGGTACACCCAGGTATTTCTGAGATATAGGGGCCCTGCTGCAACGCACCGCAAGCCACAAGATGGCAGCCGAACAGGATCCTGAGACTGACTCCACATGCTCGGAGCAGCAGTCAGAGGGACACAGAGCAGAGCAGCGATCTGAGTCACACAGCAGCCAGCAAGCAGAAGGCCACAAAAAGGATATCAGACAATTACTGCAGGAAATGAAGCAGATGTTTGATGCTGACATAAACCTGGTAAGAACAGAAGCGCAAGCAGTGACGGCACAGGTGCAGGCCTCTGAAGAGGACATTTTAGATCTCAGACAAGAAGTGAAAGGCATGGGGGAAACCCTGCGACACTTACAGACTGCAAACAGTCTTTCAAAACACACTAGATGCCATGGAAGACCACAGTAGGCGCACAAACCTCAAAATTCGGGGAATCCCAGACACAATTGAGCCAACCGAATTGCCACAGTTCCTAGGACAGCACACAGCAGTACTCCTGCCACACATCCAGGCTAAGAAGCTTGAGTTCAGTGGCCACTTCCACATAATCAAGGCCAAACAGGCACCCGCAATGGCACCAAGAGACGTCCTAGTCCACTGCCCTCCACGTCCGACAAACGTCGCATTCTGTGAGCTGTAAGGGGCAAAACACCATTAAACCTTGAATCATTACAACTCACCTTTTTCCAAGATATCACCCTGAATATTCTACTCTGGAGAAAGTCCTTGGGAGAAGTGACTGCACGGCTACAGAGATAGAAGGTGGATTACAGATGGCTTCTATCAAGAACCTTGAGAGTTATCCAAGGAGACGACGTCCTGAAATGCTGCACTGTGTCAGAGGCCCTGGCCTTCCTCCAAAAATTGGGACTATCACTGAGCACCCCAACACCGGAGATACCATTAACCTCCCATGATTGAGACCCAGAAAGAACTGTTCCATTCATCCCCAGGAGTAATAGGAGGCAGGAGGCAGTGACCTGAACATGCCACATAAGCATACTATCTGTTTCCATGTTCTTATGCTTTCCTCTCTAAGCTAACCCTGCTGTTCTCTTTACTCCAAGTTTGGCTACTGTTTCCCCTTAACTCACTATTAAGTGCTAAGACCCCTTAAACGGGCCGTGATGAAACCCCCACATGACCCCCTTAGGTTAGGGGTCGACACTTCAGAACTCACCATTCCACACACTGCATGCCTGTTACACAACCTCTGCTTATGCTCTAGCCCTGGGCCTCAATAGTGACATGAAAACCATCTTCTAGCGGGACGACCGACAAAGCCTACCTACCGCTCTAAGCCCCCCCATTCACCAGAGGGGTGGGACACCCAACAACCCGCAGGAACACAAAACCAAACACACACTTGCCTTACTCATTATAACCCTGATCCACCCATGGACACCCATAGCACAGGCAGACTCGCCTTGCTTGAAAAAGAAAAAAGTGCATACACACTCCCATTGTTTTATCCCTGACTGTAATATTACAAGCATTCAACCTAGCAGCTGGACAATAATACCATGCTTGCTACCTATTACTTATCTCTACCCTTCATTACCATGTTCAATGTGTAAACAAGCCATGACCTAAGCAACTGTAAATGCCTTTGATTGTCCAGGTAACGCTGTTGTAGCACCCCACGTTTTCATGTTCTAACCTAACTGCACTGAAAAACAAAGAATTTAAAAAAGAAAAGAAAAAGAAACCGGTCCTACGCGTTTCTTCCTTTGCAAGGGACTTCCTCAGAGACCGAACAAATTTTATAAACAATAAAATTATAAAAACAGCAGCATTACCCCACCAAGTCCCACTTTAACCCCTTAAGGACACATGACGTGTGACATGTCATGATTCCCTTTTTATTCCAGAAGTTTGGTCCTTAAGTTTGGTCCCACTTCCTCTGCTCCATTGGTCCTCAATGTGGTGTGCATATCCTTGCTTGATTCCAATCACCTGAATAATCCTCCATCTCGGCTGAATATCATCCTTCTCTCTTATTTCGTTAATTCGTGCTCATTTCTGGTTACACATCGAAAGCTGGAAGTAATGTATGTGTTCCACCTTGGCTCTTCATCGCTCGTACAAGCACAACGTTTGCGTTCCAGCGCTGCAATGTGCTTGTGGTCTCTAAAATGATCGTGATCTAACTGAAGCTTGAAAATCTCTAAAAAATAGAAATGAACAGACGGCAGAAACCTGACAAGTATAGGAACCCTAATAAAAACACATTATGGGAATGCATATGAACCAACATAAATGCTGTTTTATCACTTCCGTACATCTCGATCAACCAAATATTAACATTTCCATAGGAAAAGATCATGAAAGATGACTATAAAAAATATATTATAAATATAAAGAAAAGTTGTTAACATGTTTGTGCATGTTTTCTTCTGCAGGAAGAAATTGCCCAGTATGATAAAATCTGTGAAGAAGCCTATACTGAATCGAAAGATAAAAAAATTCTCAATATAAAGCACTGGCTGGATTCCCCATGGCCAGGTTAGACCAAACACATGCATCAATTCAATTACTTTGTTAAAGTATGAAAGAGAAAGCGAATGTCTATTTCTTTTATTTTTGCTTTAATTTTCCCTCTCCAGGTTTTTTCACTTTGGATGGGGAACCCAAAAGTATGACCTGCCCCCCAACTGGGATTCCTGAAGATATGCTTTGTCACATTGGCACTGTAGCCAGTACAGTACCTGTTAGTGATTTTAAAATTCATGGAGGTGAGCAGATTCTTACAAATTATTGCTTGCAAAATGATATTTGAGTATTTTTATCACTCTATATAAAAGGAACACTCCAGACACCAAAACAATTTTATCTAAATTACGTTGTTATAGTGCCAGGAGATCTCCATGTGCAGTCTTACCTTCAGTGGTTAAACAGTTTTCATACGGTTTAACCCTGAATCGGTCTCCAGTGGCTATACCACCATAGGTTGATGGTAGCAGACACCAAATATCCACAAAATGGACATTAGCTAGCCAGGAACACACATTCTGGGTTGGCTAATGATGCCGCTGTAGATGGAATTACTGAAATCATGCATGCACAGACAGTGGCGTACACACAATCCACGGGGCCCCGGTGCAAAACTAAACCATGGGTCCCCCTTCTGGAGTGACTTCTTCCAAGCTGTGATGTCATCACAGAGGGCCCGGTTGCACTGTTGAAGCGCCGCAGCGCTGACCAGGCCCCCTCGAAATCCATACCCATCGGGTACCCATCGGGTGGCCCTAACAGCATGTGCGGCCGGCTGGGGCCGCGAAACATTGCGACTGGTACCTGGTTGCAGGGGTCCGCAGGGCGGCCAGTCCCCCTGGAGTGACGGGCCCGGTCTGTGCTGTGACCCTTATATGTACGCCACTGCGTACAGACTACAAGTTCCATGACCCCTTTAACTCATTTAACTACATATAAAAATGTAACTAAAAACTACAAAATTGGTAACAGTTTGGCTCGCACAACATACATAGATGAAATGTTTTTGGTGATTTCATGTCAATTATTTTGTGCATCGGTTGCACTTTAAGATATACGGGTTTTGTTTTTTGTCACTTCTATTGCAATAGTTTATTTTACCGGAAAGCCTGTTATATTCACTTAAAATGAACTACATAGGAAGTTCAGTATGCTCTCAGGCTTTTAAGTAAAGATCCTTAGATTTATTTATTTTCACATGTTTAATTAATGGAAATGTTTCACTTTCACATTAGAAAACCACTGTGGCATGCAAACCTTTAAACAGCTGTGGCCTTTTGCTAGTGGTGAAATTTAATTTTAATATCAAAGCATTTTGGTGAAGATTAAACAAAAAAACAAGTGGTTGTGATTTATAATTGAATCTCACAATCAAATAAAAAATTCAGTCCCCTTTGGCTCTTCCATATTAAAGGCTATTAAGCAAACATTTGATTTTAAACAATAATAGCTGAACTTATCTTCAAAAAAAATTTCAATACATTTTGAGGTAGTCAATGTTTCGCTTAATTAAATCAGTTAATGCTTATTCTCTAATAAATGGGAATACAGTATAAATTTGTTCTATTAGTTAATAACATCCTATACATATTAAAATGTAATATACTTTTTACTTTATTAATGTAACTTATGTTTGTTTTGCTTCTTAAACGTAACCTTCTCCCTCACCATGCCAACAATGTTTACTTTTTTGGTCCAAAAATATTGATGTGAGGGCTCTGGGAGTTGTAGTTCAGATGTTGACTCCATACTGTATAAATCCAACTGCTGAACTACATATCCCATTGCTGCACACATAAAGCACTGCTAGTAGTGTAGCCCAGAAGAACTATAGAAATTAAAGTGTCCACAAGCCATATTTTGGTTTGAGGGGAGCTCACTGCAGAAGCTGCAAAGACTGCTGTTTGCAGAAAATGCATGAACTTCGAATGCGCATATCCTTTTTTTTTTGTTCTCGTCAAAAGCACTGTGATAATAATGGCAAGTCAATTGTGAAATATATATCATTCTACATACTGGGCCACGTTTGTTATTGTACTAAACCAGTTTGTTCCGTTGTAGGTCTTTCTAGGATTTTAAAAAGCAGGATGGAAATGACAAAGAACCGCATTGTCGACTGGGCATTGGCTGAGTATATGGCATTTGGCTCTCTACTAAAGGAGGGAATTCATGTCCGGTTAAGTGGGCAGGATGTGGAACGGGGGACTTTTAGGTAAGCTTTTATGTTAAGTTTGTTTCTTTCAGTTCAGTTTGCTTTGCTTGTTACATTTTGCTGTACAGAATACTTTTTCTTTTTGGGGTATTACATTTCCTTTTTGGGATATCAATACAAAAAGTAGAAAGTTTGTTTTACAAACTGGTCAGATCATTCATTGAGAAGCGAAAGAAAGATTCAGCTCATGCAATATATTGAGTTTCACATTTTTCAGGAAGCTAAGTAATGTAACAACTACAGTTCACAGTTGTGGGTACATTGACTAGAGGGCCATGTTGCTGTTTAGCAACAGTTTGGTGTAAGTTGGGGCTCTACTTGATACCCAGTTACTGCCCCATCTCAGGTGACTTGAATATTAACACATCCGTATTATCAAGGTCAATTTTGTCCAATCTGGATAACATATATTAACACAAAGAAACTAGTCCTGCGCTCAAACTCCCATTAGAGATATTTTTGCCAGAAGCTCAAGGAAGTAAGGTGAATGGTTAGAGTTAGGACCCACCTAAGAGGTCTGCCTTGACGTGGCAGGTGGGCAGACCCTCTCATGGCCATTGGAGGTAACTAAAAACCTCAATTTGTTTAAAAGTACATAGGGATGTGGAAAGAGCACAGGTAACTTTTTTTTTTTTTTCTTTGGACAACATATATTGACTGCAGTGGTGGAAGCAGGTTAACACTGTGCTCTCAGCCAATCAATGTCTTCCAAATTGGAATGAAAATGTAATAGAAAATGCAGAAGTGTTAATTCTGCATTATTAATGCAGCTTATATTGGGGGCAGTCACAGGTCTATGAGGAGAGTCTAGGTTACATATAATTTTTTTATACTTGAATCCAAGGGATGGCTAAGCACTAAGTTTATGCATCCTGATATAAATGGGTTCTAGCCTAAATTTAACATGGGAAATAAATGCGATAGCTGCATTGCTCAAACTAGTTTTAAAAACTTCCAAGAGACACTTCCACAGTGTATATATTTGTGAGGACACCTGTGTGGGTGATTTGTGTAAGGTGGGGTACTTCATTTTGCCATGGCAAAAAAACTGCTCCACAATATGATTTTGGATCATCTGTAATAATGAGAAGAGTATCTACATTCATGTTAATAGGTGCACACTTATTACAATAAACCGATTAGGGCATGAACTGGCATTCCAGATTGGCATCAGTGTTCGCAGATTCTCTTATCAATGTTCTAAATTACAAATCAATTTTCGTTTGTGTCTGTGAAATGTCAGAGTGGGAGAACTCTGCTTTTAATTTACTTAACCCTGTACCATTCCACCTGCCCTTAATTATGCTATTAATCGGAACGTATTAAAGGCAGCAATTTGTCCCTGACATACATTAACGTGTGGGAGGATGCGCAGAGTCTATTGCTTTTATTCTGTTAGACACTAGTAGCTATGTAGTCAGTATTACACATAATAGGTATTATCAGTGTAATAGTTAATTTAGCCTCAGTGCTTACAGAGTCGAACATATTGGTGTGATTCAGTCAGTTAGCCTCACACATTACTCAGGGAGTTAATGGATTACAGTAATTGCCTCAAGTCATCTCTGTTTTCATAATGTGCCTCAGTGTCCCATTCTAATGCTGATTAATGAAACCTCAGTGCACTGTAGGAGGAGGGGTGGACCCTCAGCACTTCTGATGTACTCGGCGTGTGTAATGAGTGTGTCCGCTCAAAAAGGCAAAGTGCAATATTGTTAAGGTATTGGGTTGTTGGTTAATGGATAAAAACATACTTTACTAATTGTTCTTCTGCAATTACAAATGTTTTTGTTTTGATTGAACAATTGCTTGATTAACGTCACTGGAATTTTTTTTTGTTTTGATAATTATTTTGTTTGTGCAGCTAATAAAGTTGGTGCATCAATTATTGAGTGTTATGTTATTTTTTTTGGTTATATTTTTTTATTTTGTCTTTGTGGATTTTTTTCAAAGCATTCAGATATTTTGTGATAAAAAGAAATATGTGGTTATAAGGCCCAAAATTACAATCTAATATGTTCTGTTTATTTATGACATCATTCGATAATTCAAAATTGCTATTGTTGAAAAATCAGCAATGATCCATCCTGGCGGTCCCAGTGAGGCAACTAGGACAGCGCCCCTTTCTTCTGCCGTAGGTGGGATTTCCATTATTCAATTCTTAAAGTCTTATCCTGTGAATGAACAGATTGACAGACAGCTGTTTGTATTGACACTGTATATATTTGTATGGGGCTATCAAGGGTTAATAATGAAAGCATCAGGCAGCTAAGCCACCCATCACATCCTCCATCTGTCACCTGGACTGTTGGATGGGGGTACGTAGCTTAGTGAGTGGGATCTTGCTATTGGTGCCGTACTGCAAATCAAAAGGCAATCTTTACTGAATACCCTTTTTAATATGTCAATCCAAAAGCAATATTTAGCGAATAAATACTTTTTAAGATGCCAGTTTGTTTCAAACCTTTTTTTATTTTTTTTATTTAATTGGTTGCAAGGTAGAAATACATAAGCAACATCTGGACATTGTTCATACAGTTTAACCCCTTAAGGACCAAACTTCTGGAATAAAAGGGAATCATGACATGTCAGACATGTCATGTGTCCTTAAGGGGTTACGCAAGCTCTGAATGAGCCTGAACGATGTCTGGATTTTAGCTGGATCAAAAGCAGACAGACTGCTGAAATCCAGATCAGGAAGGTTAAAATGTCATCTCTGATGCTTAAAATCAGGGGCCTGGGTTTTAAAAATGTGAACAATTTGCCTGGAGGCAGTGCAAGGGTTAAGTTCTGTGGTGGCGGGCAAGAGCTTGCTAGCCAGCACCACATTAAATATTAATATAAATATATATATATATATATATATATAAGCCTATGGGGCCAATATGTCTACAAGACCGTAAGCAGCCAGCAGCTGTTTTCTATTATTAAAGCATAAAAATGCACTGTAAAATACCTGTCAATGGTCACCCCATGCCTGCCCATGGGCATCTGATGCGGACTTGAAATTTAATAATGGGGATGGACAGGTTACTGTTCACCCACCTACTCCCAGACATGGCCAGTGAATGGAAGCTCAGTAAAGAAAGAGGGGAAAAAAACATTTAGTAAGTGAGCACAGGTGTGGCCTTTTCTCTAATAACTGTGGAATATCTCACTCACCATCCATGAACGGCTGGTAGGGGCTTTAACCAGTGCAATATTGTTAAGGTATTGGGTTGTTAAGGTACAAAGCTGTTTTCCTCTGCCTCACCCATGGATGACAAGTAGTTACGAATTGTAAAGAAGGGGAGGACATGCCAACCCCTACCTCTCACTCAGGGCCGCCACCAGAAATTTTGGGGCCTCTAACTCATCTCAGGGTCTGGGCCCCCTGGGGCCCGCCTCCAAATACAGCCCACAGGGTCCGCCTGCAAATACCGCCCACAGGAATACACACACTGATACAAAAGTACACAGATACATACTAACAGACACACATACTGAAACAGACACGCATACAGGCATACATACAGACACACAGGCATGCATAGTGACAGACAGACACATACATACACACATACAGACATACATACATACAGACACTGACATCCATACACACATACATTCATAATGACATACATTCAGACTGACATACATGCATATATACAGACATACTGACAAACTTGCATACAGACATCCATACACACATACACACAGACATACGTTCATAATGATATGCAGACATACATTGATACTGACCTACATATATACATACATAATGACATACATTGATACTGGTATACATACATATATACAGACATACATTCATTTATACAGACATACATTGATACTGGCATACATACATACATACAGACATATATACATACAGACAGACATACAGACACATATACATACATACTGACTGACATATATACATACAGACATACTGACAGACACTGATACATGCAGACATACAGACATACATTCATAATAACATACATACATAGATACACAGACATACATACATAGACATACAGACATACATACAGACAGACACAGACATACACACACACAGCTCATTTTCCAGCCACCCTCCTGTCTCTTACCTTTTCGTTGCAGGAGGGTGGCTGGGGCCGATTGGAGTAGTAGGATGGCTCTCCCTCTTCACTGCTGCGCGCTCCTCCCGTGCGGAGTGAACTGGGAGGAAGTGACCACTTCCTCCCAGCAGCACTTGCTACGGCTGCTTTTTTTTTTTTTTTATAACACGGCCACAGTGCTGACTGGGTCCCTGAAGTAGTGGGCCACCCGATGGGCCCCATCAGCGAGCGGGCCCCGGTGCAAGTGCACCGGCGGCAGTTCCGCCGCTACACGTGGTGCCCGGGCGGCCGGACCCCCCAGGGCCGCCGGACCCGTAACAACCCCCTGATGACGGCCCTGCTCTCACTCATAGGCTTCAGATAGGCATATTAAAACAAAGGGAGGATGGGCACATTATTTTCCATCCCTCCCACCCATAAGCTTTGGATGGAAGGTGAGATTAATGATAGAAGATGAAGGCGTGACATGTCATTGTCCACCACCCAATAGGATTTGGCCAAAGAAATGCTCCCCTCCCCTGGTGGCTAGATGGATCCCAAGCACCTTGCCATGTAGCAATAAAAATATCCCTACCTGAAGGGCAAAGTCTGACCTCAAGCTAAGATGCTTAAAATGTGAGCTACATCTCCTGCGGACACTACTAATGCCTACAACAGTTGCAGCAGAGTAAAACACAGAGGGGAACTTACCCCAGATCACCCTTCAGTTACTTCACCATTGGCGAGTAAAGAAAATGCAAGGAATCCACTTCATCGGTGGCCTCACTGTTTCGCCCTCAGAGGGATGACTATTTTAGGGCCCAGTAGAATCCAACTTGGAGTCTGCAGCTATTCGATAGCCCACAAATTTCCTACCAGTTACAAAACTTGATCTCCAACTCATGCTACAAGACACCACTAAAGATATCAAAAGTTACCTAGGATCCAAGTTAAATCGCCAGCTTACTGGAATATGATCACAACTCAAGGATCTGGCCACGAGGACACATCAGATGGAGGTTAAGATGGATGAAATGATTGAAGTGGTCAACTATCACAACCAACAACTTACCTTGATAAAATCCTCACACTAGAGGACAGGTTTGAATACTTACACAATTGGCCACACAGGAAAAATATCTGGATTAGTGGACTGCAGAAAACTACTACACTAAAACTCTACCTCCCACAGTAAGGAAAATGATTTTGTCTCTCCTCACAGAGGCCTCCTCACAGGAGTTATACATTGAACGAGCACACAGGGCACTGCACTCGCTCTTAACACCACGGCTCCTTGAGATGTAATTGTTATTCCATTAAGGAAAAGCTAATGGCATATCTCCCCTCCAATGTTTGGGAGTGTGACCATGGTTTTTTTTATCAGTACTTATCACCGATCACACTTCTAAAGCAAAGGGAACTCCACCCTGTTACAATGGCTATCACCCAACAAGGCATTCAGATTGTTAGTTTACAAAGACAAAAAGCTACACATACTCTGATATCAAACAGACCGAAAGCCTTTGTATCCACCTTACTATGCAACCAAATCCAAACCTTCCTCGACTAGGATTAGGAACAGGCTGCATCTTAGGAGAAAGCTGCCATCAACCAAATCTTGAAATTCACCCAGTGACACTCCCTGAACATTTGCACAACAACCATGGTGGATTCTCTCTAAGTGAAGAATGAGGATAAGTCTCCTCAGATCATATGCAGGCATCAGAGGTGATTAGGGTGGTCTTGGGGCTGCAGGGATGGATTGACCAGCGATACCCATAGACATTCAGCCCATCAAGGAGTAGAGCATGGTGAAAGTACCACATTTTCTCTTTTGTTATTCCTAATAATCTGTGGTTGATGGGGTTCCTAAAATATGGAGGCAGTGGTTTTTCTCTCCTTTTATGGCCCCTCTCCCTTTTCTCTTTGCCCTCTCACTTTCCCTGTCCCTTTGCACCTGGATATCAACATAAGGATTGCATGAATATCTAAAAGTTGACAAAGGTTTACAGTCTATACAAATGACAAATTCTGTGAGACAACTTGGCACGATAGACATATGATACATCATATATGTGCATTACCATTATGGCATACCAGTGCATAATTATGACAATGTTATTATTACATTTTAAAGCGATATTTATATGCAGGTGGTGCAGTGTATGCAATCACCAAGGTAGTAGAGGTTACATAGTTACATAGCTGAAAAGAGACTTGCGTCCATCAAGTTCAGCCTTCCTCACAAATGTTGTTGCTTTTGATCCAAAAGAAGGCAAAAAACCTGGTCTGAAGCGCTTCCAATTTTGCCACAAACTAGGAAAAAATTCCTTCTTGACCCCAAAATAGCAGTCAGATGTCTCCTTGGATCAAGCAGCTATTACCCCACTAATTAGAAATTATATCCCTGTATGTTATGTTTTTGTAAATATTTATCCAATTTCAGTTTAAACATCTGTATGGACTCTGACAAAACCACCTCTTCAGGCAGAGAATTCCATATCCTTATTGTTCTTACCATAAAAAAACCTTTTCTTTGCCTTAGATGAAATCTCCTTTCTTCCAGCCTAAATGTGTGACCTCGTGTCCTATGTATAGCCCTGTTTATGAATAGATCTTCCAGATAAAGGTTTGTACTGGCCCCGAATATATTTGTATAAAGTTATCATATCCCCTCTCAGGCGCCGTTTTTCCAAATTAAACAGATTTAATTTTTTTAACCTTCATAACTAAAATGCTCCATTCCTTTTATCAATTTTGTAGCTCGTCTCTGGACCCTCTCCAGTGCCATGATATCCTTCTTTAGAACAGGCGCCCAAAATTGCACAGCATATTCAGGGTGTGGTCTTACCAGCGATTTATAAAGAGGCAGAATTATATTTTCATCCCGAGAATTTATGCCCCTATTTATACATGACAAAATCTTACTGGCCTTAGCAACTGCAGATTGACATTGCATATTGCTGCCTAATTTGTTGTCTATAACAATTCCCAAATCCTTCTCGTGTGTGATTATCCCTAATTCACTACCATTTAGTGTGTAAGTTGCTTGTGCATTCTTAACCCCGAAGTGCATAACTTTGCATTTCTCTATGTTAAATTTCATCTGCCATTTTAGTGCCCAGTCCCCAATCTATCCAAATCTCTCTGCAGCAAAGCAATATCCTGCTCACATTTTATTACTTTACAAAGTTTTGTGTCATCTGCAAACACTGATAAATGGCTTTCAATGCCTATTTCAAGATCATTTATAAATATGTTAAATAGAAGTGGTCCCAAAACCGAACCCTGAGGGACACCACTTACCACTTTTGTCCAGCCTGAAAATTTACCATTAATTACAACTTGTTGTACTCTATCCTTAAGCCAATGTTCTACCCAAGAACAAGAATATTCATCTAGACCAATTTCTTTTAGTTTGAAGACTAACCTATTGTGAGGAACCGTATCAAATGCCTTGGCAAAATCCAAGTAGATCACATCCACTACAACACCCTGATCTATACTTCTACTTCTTCGTAGAATGCAATTAGGTTAGTTTGACATGACCGATGTTTCATAAAACCATGCTGATTATTGCTAATAACAAAGTTCTTCCCAATGAATTCCTGAATATTATCCCTTAATAGCCCTTCAAATATTTTCCCAGTTACAGAAGTTAAGCTCACAGGTCTATAATTTCCAGGCAAGGATTTTGAACCCTTTTTAAATATAGGAACATCTGCCTTCCTCCAATCCTCCGGTACAACACCTGAAACAAAAGAATCTTGAAAAATTAAATACAGAGGTTCACTTATTTTCCCACTTAGTTCCTTAAGTACTCGTGGGTGAATACCATCAGGCCCCAGAGCTTTATTTACATTAATTTTCTTTAATAGCTGTAGCACCTTGTCTCGAGTTATCCAATCACAAGTTATTTGCAAGTTTTTTGCAGCAATCATTTGCATATCTCTTGCCATAGGATCCTCATTAATATATACTGAAGAAAAATAGTTATTTAAAATTTCTGCTTTTTCCTGGTCTTCATTAGCTAATAAACCCAACTCTGTTTCAAGTGTACCTACACTTTCATTTTTTTGTTTTTTTAGAATTGATGTACTTGAAAAGAATTTGGGGGTTGGTTTTGCATTCTTTAGCCATCACTTTCTCATTTTATAGTTTAGCTACTTTAATTGCCTTTTTGCAAACATTATTGGCTTCCTTATATCTTAAATAGGATGCCTTTGATTTGTCTGATTTAAATGCTTTAAATGCACTTTTCTTATTTTTAATCTCTTGTTTTACTTCTCTAATAAGCCACATTGGTTTTAATTTGTTTCTTTTATATTTATTGCCCAGTGGTACATACTGAGAAATGTACCTTTCTAATATTTGTTTGAATAGTTTCCATTTATTCTCAGTGTTTTTATCACTGAGGAGTTTATGCCAGTCGATATGTTGTAGAGCTGCCCTAACCTTATTGAAATTGGCTTTTTTAAATGATATGTTTTAGTATACCCCACTTGCTTTTGCTTTTTTGAGTTTATTTCAAAATTTACCATATTGTGATCACTATTTCCCAAATGCTCCCTTACTTGAATGTTGGTTAAAAGATCAACATTGTTTGTTATGACAAGATCCAGACAAGCATCCTTTCTAGTTGGTGCTTGTACCAGTTGTGACATAAAGGTGTCATTTAACACATTCAAAAACCTGATGCCCCTTGCTGAAGTACTAGTCCCTCTTTCCCAATTTATGTCTGGATAATTAAAATCTCCAATAATTAACGTGTTACCTTGTGATGGGATCACAAAGAATACTCGGATCCAGAAAATTCTATTACTCTGCCACTTAAATGTAACATTAACGTTACATTTACCTTATGTTTTTCAATAACAAGACATTTGCAAACATGTGACAACAAACAAACCTATGATTTAATTTGGCATGTAACTCATCACCAGATCCCCACTCTTTGGCTTTTGTTAGATGCAAATAAAGCATTTAATAGACTCCTATTGCCATTTTTATTAACTATCCAAACCAAATTTGGGTTCCCCAACCAATTCCTTAACCCTCTGTCCGGCATCTATAGCAATCCTACAACTAAACTCCTCATCTCACATACTATACCTCCAACCATCCAAATCCACAATGGAACACAACATAGTTGCCCCCTATAACCTTTGTTGTTTTGTTTGTTTTCATTGGGATCCTTTTTGCAATTAGTATGGGACAATCCTTCCATTACCGGGTTTAAAATCTGAGATCAAGACTATAAAATAGCGGAATATGCAGACATTATCCTCTTAAATCTAACTGATCCTCTGGGCTCACTCCCGGAACTCTTTTCACTATTCGAGTCATACTTCCAAGTATTTCGATATTAAGAAAATACGGATAAACTGAAACTTTGACTTTAATATCTTCAGATCCACGCAAAGGTACCTTCAAGTTTAAGAATTCCTATATACAATATCTCAGAATCAAACTACCTACAGGCCTAGCTCGAACATACACATTAACCCCGTAAGGTCCAAACTTCTTGAATAAAATGGAATCATGACATGTCACACATGTTATGTGTCCTTAAGGGGTTAAACTACCTCCATTGCCAGGTTACCAGGTAATGAAAGACATTGAAACAAGGCATAAACTATCCATTTCTCGGATTGGGTACATAGCTTCAGTAAAATGAACACACTCCTTACATTTTTTTTTCTTATATCAGAGTTTCCAGATACCACTCTCGATCAAAGTATTTGAGCATATCCAAAGTAGGACCATTTTATATGGGCGGGAAAGAAACCTAGGGTAAAATGATCATCTCTGCATGCTCCTACAAAGTCAGGTGGGCTTTGATTACCTTCACTACTATCATGCCACACAGCTGGTGCAAATACAACAATTACATGCTCCAATTGTAGTTAAAAGGTGGATAGACTTAAAACACAGTATTTAGAGACTTTCCCTTGTTATACCTAATGGCTCCCCAAACAGGGAAAACCACTGATCACCTCCACAAACCCAGCTTTATATATAGCGATAAATATTTAGGGCATTATGACACGTAAATTCCTCTTCTCCTCTTACACCCTTATTTAGAAACAGACTATTCCCTCGAGTATATCACCACATCATTTTGCAAGATTTGAAGACCATTGTATTAATTAGATTTTTATTGTATGTGTTAGGGCTGTACTATAGTCATTGCTGCTACCCAGGAGTAGTGGGAGTCTAAGTGGGGCCTAGTTTTGTATATTTGTACTTGCAGGGGGTGGAGTGCCCCTTTAAATTAAACGAAGTAGCATTACATCCATCAGCACATGGTGCTTCCTGCAATTTCCATTATTATCTTGCTACCTTTTAACAATTAGTGAGGGACCCGAGGGTAGCTCTATACTAGATTCAATTTTTAAATATTCCTCCATCCCATTTCACAAGGGTTTGGAGGGAGATAATAGCGGGCAACCAGGCTGCCTGCCACTTCTGTTATTAACCCTTCACACGTCAGCTGTGCAATCAACATTTTCTCTTTTGCTTCCATTAAATAATGTGCTATGATCTATGCCTATTGAAACAAAAAAATAAATTAAAACATTACTTTCCAGGGCACCCAAAATACTCGGATTCTTGTTGTCACGGCAAGGGTGCATAATTCATTGTTGCACTATGAAATATTGTCATTTATTGTAATTTGTGTACTGCATAGATGATGCAGCTTCTTGGTAGATGTGGTATTGTCAATTCCAAAAGGGGTTAATTTGATTGTATGGGACGGCAGAAGGTTTACAGACTAAATTCCTCTTTGAAGCTGGGACTCCAACAGAGCTACTCTGTAAGGTGTGAGAAGTCACACATAAGTAACCTGGAAGTCTGGTTTAAATTTAAGTATCCTATTCAAAAGAAACATTAATACTTACCCACAGATTAATAATTAAGCCTTATTTTTATTAGATTTTGAATGGGACAACACAATCTTCTAATCAAGCCTAAACATGATTTGCGTAACTTAACCACAGCAGAAAGGATTGTGATGTCTACTGTATTGGGTCACAAGTAAGGAGTGTGACATATCTACGGAATGTTAAAATGGTAACAAATTCATAGATGCAATTATTTCTGTGGCAAGTACATAAGAGAAGATAGAACCAAATGTTTACATTTGGATTGATGTTGGTCTGGAACACAAGGGGATGATCACTTTTAGTTACTATAGGTACGCCTTATCTCCGCCTCTGGATGAGGCTTGGTAATCTACAGGGTATATATCTAATGATACTGAAGTGTGTATTGTACTTGCTTGCTAATTTTGAGTGAGTCACCATCTTCCTTGCCAGAGACCCCTTGGCTTTACTTTGAAAACCGAGTAAGTGATTTTATCCATTTTGGTTTTATCTATTGTTGGTGTAACTAATTTGATTGTCTTCTATATTTTTGTATGCACTGTGGCTATTTTTTGCTCATAATAAATATTCATTTATTAAGCTCTGCCTTTGTCTGGTAAAGAATCATGTTACCTGAAGAGACTAATTAGTGTTTTGCAATTGCTTAAATATTGTGCTAAGTTGTATTTGGTGGGTTTTTATTATTAAGTTACCTGGGTGACCAAAGCACCCCATTTATAAATTGTCTTGGTGGTGTCAGCATTAAAATAGTAATATTTATATTATTATGGTTAAGTGTGGGTGGTGTTAAGTGGGATATTATCATTATTTCCGATCTAGTGCAGACAAATAGTGAGCTTTAACCCTTTCACCACCGCACTCTTGAAGTAAGGTGCGTTCATGACACTCATGTGGTGTATTTTTCTTGTTTAATGCTGTCATTAACCAAAGCTTGATCATCAAAGGGTCAGCAAATTTAAATCTTAATGAATCTATTGTTTTAACTCACCACTTGTGATTGAATCCAATTTGACAGCTGTGTCATGGCAGAATGCAAGTTAGCTAAGATTCTTATGCTAACAGCCAGGGCTTCCATCCAAATACTTGGGGCCCCTTACAAATCCATTGTATTGCTATATATGTATAAGGTTCAACAATTCAGGATATGACACCAATTGAGTGGATGAATAATAAAGAATTAAGTCATAGATCACAGAGTAATGCCAAAAATCAACATTGAAGCACATCTTAGGCTGGGAAACTCCAGTCAGACTCTTCCAAGAGTAAATAAATCAGGAAAATTCCTGCACAGCACATCGGCTTACAGTCATGTGAAAAGACACCTGTACTTTGTTTGGAAGATTCTGGAAATCTGGGCAATATGCCCAGAATATTGTAACATCATATGTTACTGAAGGTTTTAACTAAATGGCTAAATAAATAATAAATTGATGTTCTCACCCCTCCTCGGTGGTATGTTTATTCCTCATTCTCGGGTCCTCTACCAGAGGCGTGGGAATTTGAAAGTTCTGCTCAGTATCTTAGCTGTTCTTAGAACTGCACTCTTCTGGACAGCGATCTCAGATGTCCCACCTGGAATCTGTTGAAGCCACTCCCCCAACTTGGGAGTCACAGTCCCGAGTACTCCTATCACAGCTGGGACTACTACTGCCTTCACTTTCCACATCCTTTCTAGTTCTTTTTTCAGTCTTTGGTATTTGTCCATCTTCTCATAGTCATTCTTCCTGAATTTATAGTCTCTGTGTATTGCCACATCCACCACAACTGCAGTCTTTTGTTCCTTGTCTACCACCACGATGTCTGGTTGGTTGGCCAGCACTTGCTTGTCTGTCTGGATCTTGAAGTCCCACAGGATCTAAGCCCTGTCATTCACAACTACCCTTTGTGGTATCTCCCATCTGGACTTAGGCAGGTCCAATCCATATTCTGTGCAGATGTTTCGGTACACAATCCCAGAAACTTGGTTGTGTCTCTCCATGTATGCTGTTCCTGCTAACATCTTGCATCCGGCTACTAGGTGTTGAACTGTCTCAGAGGCCTCTTTGCACAGTCTTCACTTTGGGGCTTGCTTGGTGTGGTAGACTCCAGCTTCTATTGATCTGGTGCTGAGTGGCTGTTCCTGTGCTGCTAGGATTAGTGCCTCAGTGCTGTCTTTCAGTCCTGCCTTTTCCAACCACTGGTAGGCTTTTGATATGTAAGCCACATCCACTACCTGCCGGTGGTACACCCCATGGAGAGGTTTGTCTTGCCAAGGAACCTCCTCTTTTTCTGCATCCTTAATCTGTGGAAGTCTCAGGCATTCCCTTAGCAGTTCATCTTCGTGATTAACTTGTGGATGCTCTGTGTTTCATCCAGGACTGTGGCCTTGACACTCATCAGGCCCGGCCTCCTTCCTTCCGGCAAATGCACAGGCTTTGGGTGCTGGATTTGAGGTGGAATCCTCCATTCATAGAGAATAGATTCCTGGTCTTGACATCCATGGTGACCAGTTCTTCTCTTGGCTAGGTTATTATTCCAGCTGGGTGCCTGATGACCGGTAGGGCATATGTGTTGATGGCTTGGATCTAGTTCTTGCCATTGAGCTGGGACTTCAGGACCTGTCTGACTCTTTGGAGGTACTTGGATGGTGCTATCCTCTTTGCCTCTTCCTCATGGTTGCCATGCGTTTGTGGTATCCCCATGTACTTCCTCTCCTTCTGTCCTGATCATAAATTACCAATACACCCAGTGGCTAGGCCATCCCACCCACTCATACATGCATAATCACACAAATGCACCCTGACACATAGATATCATGTGACCACCAACTCTTTGAAAAGCATTCTATTAGCATAACACACCTGCGAATGCACAGTATGACCCCAAGCATTGAATTATTTACTAGGGAGAATATCCCGGGAGCTTTAGTGTTCCTTTTAATCCTTCAAAATCTAAAATATATGATTAATCCACTGCTAATTCAGTTAAATCTGATAATTTGTACAAACCCTTTAAATCCTATTAGGAAGGAAAGCACTATCTGTAAGATTATAAAATCTAGCTCATGGTCATAACTTGAACGTTTACAGTATCAGACTGATTGAATATCTCTTAGTTCCTCTTCTGACAGCTGGTCAGTAGAACGTAGACATAGATATCAAATCCATTGTGTTACAAGTCTCTGCATTTGCCCAAAGAGCTGCTCTAGTGGATCAAAAATTAGCGAAAGGTTTATACCCATGAAAGCAGCAGGTGCTGGCTAAAGATGTTTAAATTAAGTCCAGGTGTAATTTTCATCCAGCTAGATATGCAAAGCGTAAATTGAGGGCATTGGAATTTTAATAAAATTGGAATTTACTGCTAAGCAGAATATTTTACTAAACTACCTAGGGCTCTGTTTAAATATAAATACAATTATACAATATTTTGATGATTAATTTAATTAAAAAGTCTGCCTCATTAACTGTTAGCTGGCAATAAGTATAAAGGGATTTATGAAGATCATAGATGGTGGTAATGTTTCATTAGTTGTGTTTTTCCCTAAAGTACCAGTATACTGTTTAAATATTACTATATAGCATAGAATAGGATGGAATCATGCTAAAAGAATGCAACAATCTTTAAAATACTCCAGATCCACTAGCCTTTTTTATTGGTCATCTCGACATATACACAATAACAAAAATATTGTCAGTAATTTATAGCTTGCAGAAAATATGAGCACATAAACTTCAAAAAATAAATTATTTAGATAGGCTATGATGTCAGAAAAAAAGCCTGCCATATAATATCTTAAACAGGGCTTTTCTTTCCAGGATCCTCTGTGCCTGAGAGATAATTGCATGAGAAAAAAGCTATAACTTAATAATCTTTCAGGTACAGAAAAATATGCAATATTTTAAAACACCCCAAAAATACATTTTAATAACTTCAAAATCCCACGAAAGTCATATAACCGAATAGCTTGAATCTGAGCGCACACTTTGCCGAAATAGCACTCCGATCCCTTCGTTAGTTCGGGAATGCCATTCGAATGAAATTTTGACCTGTCGGCAACGAGGGGATGCTCCAAAACCGTTCCCTAGAAAACAAGGCAGCGACAGGTCATCTTTCTGGGGTTCTCGCACGAACACTGATGAATCCATTCCCAGGCTGTTGGGGTACGAATGCTCCCCTGTTCGGTAGTTGGATTCCTGAACGCTGTTCTCCTAATTGTTCGGAAAGTTGGTACTAGTTTACCGGTTGTTCACGGGTTTGTGTATTCGAAAACAGTTCCATGCTATTGACGAGCATGTTGTGCTGCCCAGGTTCGGGAGACAAAAGGGCTGCCCATTATTTGCACGTGCATTCAGTTATACGAACGGCGGCCACACAGGGAACACTTGAACTAATAACTAATATGTGGTTAACAGCCAGGGTCAGTCAATGATTAAAAGGTGCGAACAAGGGGCCACACAGAGAGGGGGTTTGGTAAACGATCAGGGGTATATGGACAGCTGAACAAAGGTGAATAAAAGTATATTTGGGTTCTCCGTTCCACTACATATATGTTCTTTTTTTCTTCATTATACTATAGGAAAACCAAAATGTTCTAGGATTCATCTTCCAAGTTGTCTATAATTACGTCCACTGGAAGCTCATTTCATTTATCAAATGCTTTCTGTCTACTTCTACCTTCACATGTTTATCATTTATCCTTTACTAACTTCTGTAATAACTTGCAATCTTATTAAAAACAAAATGGAATGTTAATAGAAAATGGCAGTGTAATTTGCAGTAAATGGTGTTTTCCCATCTTATTTTAAATTTATATTAATGATTTAGCAATAGACTTTGCAATCTAGTTGAATCCTGACACAGCCAGGGCACACATTCCATTGAGAAGGAGAAATCGAAACATTGCTTTCGATTCTCGTCCCCTCTCTATGCTCACAGCCAGGTGGAAACGATAAAAAATACAACAATGATTGACATGGAGCAAAGATTGATGTGCCCAGTTCCCCATCAGATGTAAGTATTTAATATTTACATTTATTTATTAGACATATTTGTTAAATATAAGGATCAATAAATATCATATTAAAAATCCTGGTAAATAAGGGTTCTCCGGTAGTAGTGTTATTTTGATGTTTCTGCATGGAATCTTCATATTTGAATCTTGCTTGATGAAACACTTTTTCCTTTTTCAGACCTTGGTGATCCTTTATACATTTTATGTTTACCTGTGAATTAATGCTGGCTCATCCACATTTTCTTAACTATCTCTCTTTCAGTCATCGGCACCATGTCTTGCATGATCAGGATGTAGACCGCCATACTTGTGTACCAATGAACCATCTTTGGCCAAATCAAGCTCCGTACACTGTGTGTAACAGTTCCCTATCTGAATATGGCGTATTAGGTAAGTTATAGACAACTGTAATTTTGTTTATTATGTCACAAGTCATATTTAAGTCAAGTTTAACCTATGTTTTAACACCGGAAAAAATAATCTGACCACCAATACTAACTCATTGGGGGCCATTGACTGTCTTTGCAACCATAATTGTTGGTTCTTTAAGTAAACTATACCAGAATGGAAGGACTTGTTAATTACTGCAAAGCTGTATAGTGTTGCCCAAAACTAAATAAGTGGAGCATTACATTTTTTGTGTAGCGTTTAGTGGAACCATACTGTGATAATGGCAAAGGCCATCTTTGATCATTAAAAGGTTAGATTGTGTATAATGTCATATCCCAAAAGGAAAAAGAGCAACCTGTGTTTATGTAGGGTCTAATTCCAAAGTTTCTTATTGTGGATCCTTCACGTGTGCTATGTAAATTCCATCCTGAAAATATCAGTGACTCAAATAGAATTGAGTCACTCATGCCAACACTAGGGCATCGGCAACCTTCGGAATTCCAGATGCTATTACAGATTTAATACTTGCAAAGAATTGCGTTACATATAGTTCATAAATTCTGGAGCGCTAAAGAGATTAACTACCTCTGTACGAGGGTATAATTAAAAACAGATAAAGAATTCACCAATATGTTTAACCACTTAAGGGCCACATGACGCTTTCATGGCCAGTGAAGCATAGACGTCATATAGTAAGAGTATCAAGGAATCCCAGGTATATTTTGATACCTGGGTGTCCTTTTGATCATCTAGGGCCAGAATTAGTGGCCCCAGACTGACATGTGCTCTGTTTGCAGAGGTCAAAGTGAGCAAAAGATCCGTATTGCCACGTGCTACTACAGCAATGCATTGATAGCTTCCCCGTCCAGAAGGAGGGGTGCAGACAAGTATATTATTCCACCAGAGATAATGACTCTCTCTTCCCTGGCCAAAGGTAAGGCTCAAGTAGGGTGGAATTAATTGTTACTTTTTGCAATTAAACTGTATATGTATATAATGTACCCTATTCCTCCCACTACTGCCCCATCCACCTTTACCCATCAAAGCCCCTATTACTTCTTCCCCTGACTAAAGCACCTATGCCTCTGCACGCACTACAGCCTACCACCCCTGCACTCTCTACAGTTCCTATTATCTCCTGCACCCTCAACTGCCACTGTCCCTCCCCAGCACCCACTTAAGCTCTTCTAAACCTCCCGTTCAGCCTCTATATCTCACCCTCCACCTTGCAACTACTGCTAACACGAGTAAGTGGTGGAAATGATTAGAACACCCCCAGTTTTGACTTTGGTATTTTTGGTGTCATAGTGCCATTGTCTCATGTTTTGTTCCTAGACTATCCACTGCTTAGTTCTGCTTTTACTCTTCATACCAGCACTAGTGAGATGACACTTCACTCGCCCCCTACCCACTTCTTTGCCATACAGTTTGCAATTTATTATTGGAGGCACTGAGAGTGATCCCAAACATTGTTTCATTGGCCCAATACAGCACCCTTGGCCATTTGCCTTGCATCTGCTGAAGATGCTGAAAGATTTAGAGCTGTCGCAACATCTGTTGCTACACTAGCCTCTACACTAGCATTTGTTGATTAATGGGATGTTGATGTTGCTGGTACTGGTGATGTTGACGATGATGTTAGTGGTGCTGCTGGTAGTGGTTATATTGACAGTGGGTGAGTTACTTGTACCAGTGGAAGCAGGTGCAACTGATGTATCAACTGTCTCCACTGGATGAGACCATTTTACAACAGATACTTATGGACTTGGAGATGGTAAACAAGATGCAGGAGGCAAGTGCAGACTAGATGCTGGAGAAAATACTGGGCTACTGACTGTTCTTTCCAGACTCTCTGCTTCTAATTCCTCTAGCTTATGACACTCATAGTTGAGTAGCTCCTGAGCTAGAGGTAAATATGCTTTGATTGCAGTGGTGGGGAGAAACAGAACTCTCATCACTGGATTCATCACTGTCACCATCACCAACACCAGACAATGAGGACACTACTTTGGTGTTTACAGAATGTCTTACAAATGTTTACAGAATGGAAAACACATTTGACTCTGGGAATTTAGAATTTGATGTAGCAGACATGCTGCCAATCCCACTATCTTGAGGCTAAATGCTACGAATAGGGATGGTGGTGGAGGCAGCAGTCACATGACCAAGGAAAAAGGTGTTTCAACTTTCCATAGCCATGGTGCATTGCAGGGCCAGACTGGGAATACAAAGCAGTCCTGGGAAAAAAAAAATCTATTCCAGTCCCATAAGTCATTGCGCCATGCATTGTCACATGTTAAATGTAAGGCTATGTCTTGCAACCCCAGATGATTGAGTGATATATATATATATATATATATATATATATATATAATAAAATCATATATACAACATAAATATTTTTTAATATAAAATATTGGTCCTTTCAGAGTAAAACATTTAATTATACAGTAATGCTTACTGTATAATTAAATGTTTTACTCTGAAAGGACCAATATTTTATATTAAAAAATAAATAAATATGTAGACACAGACAATCTGACACACACAAGCTCATTGATACACAACCTCAAACAAAAAATCTCACTGATATACATAAACTCATTAACATAAAAACACAAGCTCACAGATGCACACACATGGTCTTACTGACAGACAATCTCACTGACACACACAGACAAGCTTATTGGTGTACAGACAAACTCTGACACGCACAAGCTTACTACAGACAAGCTCACTTTCTCACACAAATGCTTACTACAGAAAACACACACACACACACACTCACTACAGAAAAGCTCACTGATAGACACATGCTTCCTACAGACAAACTAGTGACACACACAAGCTCACTAGAGACAAGCCTACTGTCACACAAATGCTTACTACAGAAAAGCTCATTGACACACATGTTCCCTACAGAAAAGCTTACTGACACTCACATGTTCATTACAGACAAGCTCACTGATACACACAAGCTCACCACAAACAACACACACATGCCCACCACAGAAAAGCTCACTGACACACACATGCTCACCACAGAAAAGCTCAGTGACACACACATGCTCACCACAGACAAGCACACTGACACACACATGCTTCCAACAGACAAGCTCCCTGACACACACACATGCTCACTACAGACAAACTCACTGACACACACATTCAAGCTCACCCGCTAGCAGCCACACACACACATGCTCACTACAGACAAACTCACTGACACACACATACAAGCTCACCCACTAGCAGAGACACACACACACACACACACACGCAAGCTCACTCACTAGCAGGCACACACACACAAGCTCTCTCACTAGCAGGCACACATACACACACACAGGAGGTGGAGCTTGCATGAGGGGGCTGGGCATGCAGCCAATTTATATAAACTGTGCAGGGAGCCTAACTGTGGCTGCACCAGCCCCCAGCTCCTCCCTCTTTACTCCCCTCGGACTGACATAGGCTGGCACAGTCCGAAGGGAAAAATACTTAAACTACAGGAGCCTGATGATTTGGGCTGTCTGCCTGGCCCCAGGTGCTTCAGCCCACCAGAAAATTTCCCGGTATCCCGGTGGGCCAGTCCGGCCCTGCATTGGGGAACAGGACCTCTTCCCCTACCCTCTCTCAATTCTTGCTTGGAATTAGAATGTGATATTGATGATGGCAAGTTCGACTTTCTTATTACAATAAATTAGGTAAAGTATATGACTGTGTATTTCTCAGGATTGTTCATAGGACACTCAACAAACTGATACACACCAATTCTGATAAGGCAAAGAATGAAAGGCAGAATAGACATATTACTGAACCTTAGAGTGGCTGGGCTTAACGCAAAGCAGGGACCAGGAAAAAAAACAGTACTAAACTAGAGAAATACTTCAGGCCAGAAAGGGACACAAAAAAATAGAAAATAAACATAAAAAAATCCACATTGCATTTCATTTTGAAACAAATTAAAAGTCTAATATAAAGTGCCTTATGAGCCATTCAAATGTTCTTGCAAAATTGATTTTTTGAATTCATGTGATAAATATGGCTTTTCGTACTGTTGACCTGAAATTGTAAATGATATTTGTATCAAGATACTTATGCCATGTAATTTGCAAAGAAAGTGTCATCCAAACTCTCTAGTGTGCATTATAAAATGGTTACATTTGATCTATTACGTGTGTTCTACAGCTAGAAAATAGAAGAGGATGAAAGGTATATTGAAAATCTATTGCATACTAGAAAAGTTAACCTGTATCATGTTCGGTATATAAATAAGGAGCAGGATATGTGAAGCGAAGCCTTAAACAAATTAGCCATATTGCAGATTTTCTCAGCCATGTCTCCCAATCAGCAGAAATGGGATCGTAATGTGGAAGTTAAAATTAGACTTGGATTAAGAGTTGCCAAGGGAGAGATGACTCTGTGTACTCTGTGTAAAATTATGGCTAGGTAGATATATATATATATATTTACTGCTTCAAACAGATAACAAATAACTGTTTAATTTTGGAATCTGAACAGACATAGAAAGAGGAAAATGACAGCAATATTGTGCGGCTCATGTAGTTCTCTGATATAGTGTAAACATTAGGATGCAAATTCAATCAGATTTACTCCTTTGCTCACCAGCAGTTAAATATCTCAGTAAACGTATCCCCTAAATATAAGATAAGCTTGCATATGTGGACACTTTGCAGAAATAGGATCTAAAATGCAAATAGTTTTATGTCGTAGAAGGCAAGAGCAGCAATGTATTGCTTTTAAATTCACATTAAAGGTTTACTCTAACAAGGGCGGTACAAGGATTTTTGGGTACACAGGTGAAGATAATTTTGGCACCTCCCCCCCAAAAAAGCATTTTCACCTGTGTGCCTCTTAACCCGCCTTTTGTTTCTTATCCCCTTTTTTATTAAATGTCTTACCCCCTTTAGTATATTATCCCCTATTTTTCACCTCCCTTGTGTATCTCTTACAACCCACCTTTGTGTGTCTTTCTCCCCCCAGCCCCTTTGTGTGTCTCCTTCTCTCCCAGCCCCTTTATCTTTTACTCTTACCAGCTCCTTTGTGTGTTTCTCTTTCACCATCAGCCCGTTTATCTCCCTCAAGCCCTTCTGTGTGTCTTTTTCCTCTTCTCCAGTCCCTCTTTGTATTTCCACCTCCAGGCCCTTCTCTGTGTCGCTTTCATTCCCAGCCCCTGTGTGAACGTTCTCACTCCCAGGCCCATCTTTGTGTCTTTCTCCCTCCTCATGTCCCTCGGTGTGTCTTTCTCCCCACTCAGGCCCCTCTCTGTGCCACTCTCCCCTCCATGTCCCTTAGTGTTCCTCTCTCCTCCCCTCCCCTCCCTGTCCATTAGTGGTCCTCTCCCCTCCCCTTCCTGTCCATTAGTGGTCCTCTCCCCTCCCCTTCCTGTCCATTAGTGTTCCTCTCCCCTCCCCTTCCTGTCCATTAGTGTTCTTCTCCCCTCCCCTTCCTGTCCATTAGTGTTCTTCTCCCCTCCCCTTCAGGTCCATTAGTGTTCCTCTCCCCTTTCTTACCTGTCCATTAGTGTTCCTCTCCCCTCCCTTCCCTGTCCCTTAGTGTTCCTGCCAGCCTCCCTTCCCTGTCCTTTTAGTGTTTCTCTCCCCTCACCCTTCCTTTGGTCTTAGTGCCTCTCATCCTTAATGCCCCTCCCACCCCACCCCTTAGTGTTTTCTCCCTTCTTTTAGTGGCTCCCCACCCCAGTATTCCTTTTCCCTTCCCTTCCCCTGTACCATGGGAACACAACCTCTTAGTGGTCCTCTTCCTCTCTCTCCTCTTTTTAGTGTGTTCTTCCCCCTCCTCCCTGTCCTATAGTGTTTTTCCCTCCCTCCCCTGTCCTTATAGTGTTCTTCCCCCTCCCTGTCCTGTGGTAGTTTTTCCTCCCTTGTCCCATAGTTTTTCTTCCCCGCCCCCCCAATCCCACAGTGTTCTTTCATCTTTCCTCTCAGTGAGCATTTCCTTTCAGTCCAGCTAGGTACAGGAAACAGAAGCTCCCGTACCGCGGTGCGCACTGCTCTGTTCAGCAACGCTATACAGCGTGACTGGCAGGAGGAAGCACTGTGTGCCCACATCCTGCCAGTCACTCTAATCTAGTGCTCTCCGGGCCGCCGGTGCGACCTACGGTGACCACTTGTGCCGCCTTATGGTGGTCGCCATAAGGCGGCACAAGTGAAACGGTCCACGTGGTTGATTGGATCACGAGTGGGCTTCAAGGACTTCAGATGGAGCGTTGAATCCAGGGAGGGGAGCTTTGCTGGTGCTGCATTCCAGAAAATGTATTGCTTTAGTTCTAATGTTTTTTTAATTAAAAGAAAAAACGGAGGGTGCAATAGGCCCTTATAACATAAAATATCACATTACTATCTAATTTATGGTGAGCTGAGGTTTGTGATAGGCAACGATTTATCATTATATTTACCATATGACCTGGCTAAAAGCTAAATTTGTAAATGTGGTGATATTTTTATACATACATTGTGGGATCCCAATATCAAACACCCATATTAATACAAGTTACTTTAATTGCTGCATAAACTTCTGTGCTTGGCATAGAAGTACAAACTACAGAGAGAGAGAGAGAGAGAGAGAGAGTGTGTGTGTGTGTGTGTGTGTGTGTGTCAAGTCTTTAAGCATTCTCTTCTCTTCAAAGTATATAGGCCTCATTGCTTGCTCTGCTTATTACTTAAAATCATTAAATATAATCACAACAATTACTCGGACAATCAATCTCACATGTTTCATAAAAAAAAACCTCTGATCTCCAATTTATTTCAATTACACCATTAATTAACTTTCTTGCTCCTTTTAGACCTGCACCTGTGTATCGGTGAAAAGGCCAGGTATCGTGACCTGTATATATGTGGAAGTAGCATCTATACAGGGCTTAGAGCCAATTACCTTTAAAAAATAAAAAAAAATAAAGTTAATGTCATTCATGACGCCCTGAAGGAAATGCACCCAATATGCCTATAAACCTTATCATAAATGTATTTCCTTTTCATGGCTATGAAAAGTGGTTCATCTGATTTATTTATTATTTTTTTTTTGGTTAAAGCATCTATTTTTAGTTAACAAAAAAACAAATAAAAAAGGTTAAATTAAAAATAAAAAGCCTATTTTTGTTTAACTTCATTTATCATGTGAGATGGCATAGTGACCATAAAATAACCATCAAGATTAACTATAGAGGAAAATGAGAAATTGACCCCGACAGGCTCAGGAGTGTACTGATCATGGCAAACTACCGGTGGCAATAGATGGTATTTCTAATGATGCTGGCTTCCTGTCTCCATCTTTAATGTGGGCACTGTCCAACGCATGCATGCTAAAACATTCATAAATAATGCTATATAATGTGTTTAAAGCATGTTCCTGTTTTTTTCCTTTTATATTTGGTTTTTA